ATTGGTAACTAAGATTTACTTTGGGGGACAAAATACTCGGATTTGGTGACCAAATTTTAGCTAAATTTCATAAATTCTCCGTGATGGCTCTCGGAAATTTACAAATAAATTAAAAAATATATAATTGTTTTTTAATTTAAAGCTTGAATTTAACAATTATTATAAAATGCACCTATGGTGTTTAACACCATATATAATTGTTTTTAATAAAATTTAGGGTTAGGGAGCATTTTTATAATTTTTTTTTTTATATATATTATGATATACATTAGATATAAGATTTTAATTTTTGCTTTTATGAGGTTTTTGGGGGTTCTGAACATTTTTACTTAGAATACCTGATCCAGTTTACTTAGTACGTTTTTGAGAAATAGGTGCATTTTAGTAAACGCGTTATTTAAATTATTTAAATTATATGCTGCCCCATAATTTTGAAGAATCAAATATGGTTAAAACATCTTGATGTAAAACTATTATAATATACAAGTCATTAATCCTCTAAATAATCAATTATTCGAATTACTGTATTATTTATTGTCGCAACTGATTAGAAATCTCGATTTAAAAATATAAATCCAACCAATTATAAAAGCTAATGTGTAAAAATTTGCCGAATGATTTTTCGATCAGCATGATCAGTATACAAATGCTATATTGCAGCAATACTTATTCTTCGAATAGCTCTATCTTTATAATGTCGAAACACACAACATTATTAAATTTTCATTTGTATATTTGTTCAACATGTTTGATGAGAAATTCATAAATAAATTATCTTTTCATTTCTTTCACAAGTTTTAAAATCTATTAAATTTATAAAATAAAAAATACAATTCTTGATATAAGAAACCTTTCTATATAAGAAAGCTCTTGAAATAAGAAAGATTTTACGAGTCCCAATCAGAAACTTTATAATAAAAGCTTTTTATATAATGAAATTTCGATATTAGAAAGTTATGTGTATATCCAAGTCGGTATAGTTCTTCAAGCTGTCATAAGATTAATTTTATATCCAAAACAAATCTTCATCTTGATTGTAATTTATACGAATATCAGGTTTTTCTTTCATTAAAATTTTTTAAGATATCTATTTACATTTAGTAAACGCAGTTTTCATAAAAACGATAAAAATTTTTTTAATAATTCATATCTTCAAAAGTGCTTAAGAACTCGACTTTAAAAAATTTGCTAACATCTGTTTTTCGAACTGATAAGGCTTCTAACATTTTTTCAATCATTTGCTTCGAAAGCATCATCATATTTCGGTATTAAACTAGAGATATAAGTACTTACGTACTGTACCTAAAATCTATAATATTATATTAGTCACCTGACCTTAATTACGTGTATATCAATTTAATAATAACAGTTACAGTACCGCTAAATATTTTGTGACACAACCCTAGCCGCTGGCAATTGACTCAATTTAAATATTGTTTAACGGTAACGTTAATTAGACTATATGATTCACATTGTAACATTTACTACATATTACGATATTTAAATGATATAACGATAATCAGACATTAAAATATTGTACAAGCAATGTTACGTAATTTTTACGTCCTATATGTGGCACTAGGTTAAATTGATAATAATCAAGGGACCACAAATGCAATGTAAAATTTTACTAAAAAAAAAAATTTACAGTAGATTTAAGAACTGGTTTCGTTCTATACTAGGCTAGAAAAAAAACCAATACCAAAATTCAGGAAAACTTTTTGTTGATGCAGAGAAGGCTGTTGCAGTTTCATAAATAAAATTTTGAGTAACGATGGGTTATTTTTGGCATTACTTTTGGATCTTGAAATTTGATTAGTTAACGAAATTTTTTAAGATGGTAACGCTAGTGCGTTACGTATTACAGTATCTGTTATGTAAAATCTTGGCCAGAATTTGATCAAACTCCGGCCAAAGGTTTTAATCAACGATATTAGGCGCTAAACAAGTCAATTGAAATTCTCAATATAAACAATGTTAAGTACTTTATTGAAATAGTTCTCATTAAAAAAAATTCTTCACCAAAACTTAATTTATTACATTGATGAATATGCTACGAAAAAATTTAAATGTTTGATCAAAAATATACAATATACAAAATATCCAAGTAAACATACATAATACAAGTTTAAAAGAAAAAAATTCTTATCACACATATTAATAATAAATAGCACTAAGATGACCATCATCATTATGGTTTTCCCTATTCATCAAAAATGCACCTAAACGAACAGTTAATAGTGAACAACAAAGTGATATCATACCAATGACAAATTTTTTCCAGCCTGGAGTGGAAGGCAAGTAAATGCGTTTTGTAGGATAAACACTTGTAGCATGAGTATCTACATATACATAATACATGTAAGCCGGATAGGTGATAGCATAGGTTAACGATGTTAAAATGGAGCTATTATTTATCAAAATTAATTTTTTTTTTAAAAAAGGTTAGAAATATATATAGTAAAATTACACATTGTACTGTACTCAAAATTAATAATACTTACGGAACTAATGTATCAAAGGAAACAGTGGCAGTGAGGTTACCGACATTATGGAAGACTGAAGCAAAAACTAATATTAAAAGTTGATTTGGATGATGAACATGACCATATTGTTGATCATGAGGATGATCAGGTTCAGCCTCATCGTTAGCAAGAGGCATACGTTCATTCTCATCACCATGCTTAAGCTCATGACTAGTATTAATGTAAATACGAGTGAAAGTGATCATGAGTGCATAGTCAAAACAGAGACCTATTATATTACAAAAATTTAAACAATATTAATGATCGAATTTTACATTTTAAAAATATAAAAAAAAAATAAAGATCTTTTTTTACCTTGGAATTTGAACCAAACAGCATCATAAGGCCAATCGATGAAAAGGGCACCACAATAGACGAAAAACATATAACTCAAAAGAATAGCATAAAAACTAATATTTTTAATCCTTCCACCAGATCCTATTAAAACCAAAACAGCAAATTCGGAGCTATTATGAAGCATTCCAATTGCCCCTACCCAAAGTTTACCAACGTCAAATATAAGAATAGCAAAGAAAGTTAACACAGTATTAAAAGCATAAAGAACCAAAAGACGATTAAAGTAGTAAGCAGAAACTGGAGGAGAGTCGCCACTGATAAAATAGGTCTGAAGTTTACGAATGGTCGGAGGATGCGCAGTCCATCTTGAGGCTAAATAGACAGTAATTATTATCAAGAGAGAGCCGAAAGCTAATGAACTATCGGTTTTGTTATAATCATTTCCTTTATTGAATAAATAAATTTTTGTTATAAAAATTTTTGTTATAAATAATTTTATAGAAAAAGTAGAATAATAACATTAAATAGATATGAAATTATTATATACTTTTGATAGGAGGATGCCATACTGGATAGCCAAACAAACGGCTCTTATCTTGAGGAAGCTCAGTCTTAGGGACACCCGCAAAGGTAAGGAGGCAAAGGAAAAATACACCAATTGTCAAGATAACACAAAATGAAGGTCCAAGCTGAATAGCCATTTCGTTATAAATTTATTTTTATTTTTTATTTTTTATTTTTAAGTAGATGAGAATTTTTTTCGTTAGATAAGAGTACGTAAAATGTTCAGAATTCCCTCCGTTCAAATACTTAAATCAATTATAGGTAATGTGTAACTAAATCTAAATTCATTAGTAGTTTTAGCCATCTTTCATCTTTACGTATGTATGTACGTTTATATGCATATAATATTATTCGCATGAGAATTTTTTTTAACTTTAAAAGCATGATACAATCAAATTCCATTATTGGTTAAATGATGAACGTTATGCAGGTTCTCGGTTGAAACTTTCATTAAAACTATTAAAAATGTATATGCAGGTAAATGATTATCAAGAAACACAAACAACAATAAGTGATTAAAGTTTGTGCGTGGATCAGTTAATTGTGATGGTATGCATGTGAACGTTATTAAGATTACTAAATATAATAAAGTTAATAAGATTCTTTTTTTTTTTTGAATGAAGTTTGAAACGGTAAACAAAAATAAACGTGATGAAATTTATAATATGGTTGCTATTCGAAACTAATTTTTTAAAGCAAACAAGCGCAAAAGTTTTCTTTGAATGCATTATTTTCAAAGTGAAATTGAGGAACTATGATTATAGTGCCCTCGTAATTAGGACCCGGCCATTATTCATCATACGTACAGTACCTGTCCAGCCTAATTCGGCCAAGTAACTGTTAATTAATACTTTCATATAAATATGCTAAGGAGAATTGTTATTAGACTTAATATGTCTAATGACCTTTTTTTTATATGTTTAATGAGCCTAATTAGCCACAATTTAACAACCATGAATGTAAAGGTAGTCTGCACCGGAGTTACCGGCAATTTTATTGAAAAAGATAACAATAATTTTCTCGTGATTATAGCGTTTTATAATTGTCTACATGGCTTAAGTTCTGATAATTGACAATAAAATTATATCTATAACAATTAACGTCACATATATATAATTAAATTTGACTTACGTAGCATTGTTAATCCACTTTAAAAGTTGAAAACCTGTTTAGAAAAAATAAATTGATAGAGCTTTTATTTCACGCTTAGAAATATTAAAAAAACAATATGAATCATGTGTCGTTTCTAAGTGAAGTATGCTTTGGGCGAATCTCATAAATACATAAGATAAATTTTCTCTCGCAAAAAATTTATATTAAAAAGTACTCTAAACTGTATAAATTCAACTGCATAAAATTGACCAATCACAAAGAACCATCTATACAGTCAGCGCCCCTTTTTTTTTAACTCCAAATATCGATACATCAATAATGCAAATCCATGCACTAACTATTTACGTACAGTATTTGGAAGTGACACATATGACGTAAATTCTAAAGTTGATTAAGATTGAGCCCGCCAAAAATCTGTATAGAAGCTCTTGTTGTTGACATAAAATTACTCTTGAGATGACGATTAAACACTCGTGACTGACGTCTGATGTTGTTTCAAAAAGAGCACTTTAAATAAATAGCCTGCAAATTATGTACGTACATACATACGTACAGTTTTGTTGATTTTTTTTATATCATTTTTGAGATCGATCGTAAGCCACTGATTAAAACAAATCTACAAATAAAAAATTAATTAGTACTAAATAATATTTAATTAAATTTTTATTATAGTTATGATAATAGGAAATCGCCAATCAGAAAATCAGAAGATGCAATTTTTTATCTAATGTCGTACTATGTACATGAGCATGTAACTAATAAGCACTAATAAAAAAAAAACTACGGAACGTAATTTTACTATATCAGTTTGCCTAAACAAGCACAGATAAAAGTATGCTACGCAACATTGTAAAACTTAGATGATCATAATAGTATGATAAATTTATTGTTTTACAGTGGCCGAATACTGTGTGTCGGTTATTTGTGTAATTCAAATCATTTGAGGTCATCGGTCATTACTGTATCACATGCATTTATTTTTATTGGTAATTAATGCTTTAATAATTATATAATATTAATATAGTATGACAAGAAATTGCATTTTAAGAAAAAAACTTTTTTTGGCTCATTGCCACCTTTTGCTGTGGAGGTTCTCAAATATCGTTTATTAGTAAAGTTTTGACTTTTATATGTAGCCACGTTTATCATTGTATTTTATACGTAGAAATTTGATTAGTTAATAAAAGTTAAATGACCTTAAGTTATATTGACCGCGGTTAATCAGTTATTATTATTATTATTATTCGAGTTTTGTGTCAATTAAAACCATTTTTGTACGACATATAAACTTACAATATTATGAATTTAAATCCAACCTAAAAAAATCTTATAATGGAATGTACGTACGTACGTACAGTACACTTGTACAATATTCGGTAACAGGTAAAAAAAAAAAATTTTACAAATTGATATAAAAATTGTTTGTATTTTGAGTACTGTTCGTAGAACCGTACTATATTTTTTATGTTGTAATTATTACTTTTTATCGAGTGATCAACAAAATGATACTTAAATATACCGTATATACAAGATAAATCAATTGTATATCAATTTAATAACTCAGATTCAATTCGAATCTAAAAAAAATTAACAAGACCCCTAAGAATAATTTCTTCTTTATCATATTTAAACATGTAATTGTATTTGATTTTCAGGCTCTCATCGATGTCAATGCAGTTTAGTGTCATGGCATCACGCTACTAGATCATGTAAAATTACAGCTATCATGCTTGAATTAACTTTTTAACCAAAAAAAACCAAGCATATGAACAGATTTTATTATTTATAATGAATGTTCTAAGACCTTTATGAATTTAAATTGAGCGTAAATGTAATCTATAATAGTCGACAAACTTTAACGTTAATTGCCATGTTTACTCTCGATAAAAGATAAATAGGATCTTTTCTAACAAATGACCATTCTGAACTATGATTTGCATAGTCCACGAAGAGTCATTTTGTTAGAAAGATCCTAAATCAATATCGCTCACAGACTAAGGATTAACACAAAAAACAAGAAAATTCCAATTTCGAAATAACATCTCAGTACATTATTTCGGATCTACAGTGGTCTTTATTATATATATTAATAGTTACAATTCAACGGTCAGAGCATTGAGTACCTGTATCTGTATTTTTTGTCTCATCGAGGGGTTGCTAAAACATGAAATACAATTATGAGCATTCTATTCCATCCGCGTTCGTGAAATACATGCTAACAGTGCAGAATTTAAGAGTATCGATCGAATAACCTATATCTAATTACCTTCTAAATGCTACTGTCTATCGTGAAGGTGAGATAAAAAAAACGAGACAATTTATCTGAAAAAAAAACCTCAGTTCCCCTTTGATTATTATGCTAATCAAGTCTAGAAAGTGCTATTTACACAAAAATAAGAAAATTTCTTCGTGACTGTCGCTCCGACATGCCACTTTATCTCAAAAACCAAGTTATGAATTCGTCCAACAGGCAATAAATTAACTTCAACAATGACCATCGTCTTGACAGGCCATCAAATTAAACTTTTACGCAACTGCAAAACCTTGCATGAGGGTTGGATAGGGTGGGACGAAAAAACCAGACAAAATCGAATTAGCAGAACGAACAGAAACCACTTTATCAGTGTTGCATAAATTAGATAATACTGTCATGGTGACATACAGTATGCGGAGAACATGTTTTAAAATAAGGGTAAGAGCGATCGATCATCTAGTGTCTTGTACACGTGATTCACGTGATGATTGATCGGAATTATGGGCGGTCGGTAATATGGTTGAGATACCGAAGTAAGATAATTAATATATCATGGATGAATCAATCACGCATTAATAAGTGGTACGAAATAGTTTATTAGTAAGTTATGTATGAACAATCGAATAAAGTATGTAATCAATTAAAGAGACAATGGTCGTATGATCAATTATGATGTAACGATTAGGTCAGAGTATGTATATAAGGATCGAAGCGAATGTAATAAGAAAGATGAGTTAACTTAGATAAGTTTCGCTTGTAATTAATAAATAAACCCCTTAAATTAAATAAAGTAATAGTACATATAGTAAACACTTGCCTTGTTTAAGTTGGTTCGCTTGGCCCCTAATTAATAGTGCCAACCATCCGGGTTAGGTTTTTCTTTGACGAAAGTCACTGATTAACCCGTGACAATACTATGAAGATGTTGCGTAGACCAATAAAAAAGGAAAAACACAAAGTATACAGATATATATTAAAAAAATTTTAATCGGTTATATTAGGTTGTATACAAAATGTATTATTGCGAAGAAGACTGTGCTGATTTAGCTAAACGATAAAAGGTCATTTATTAAAATGTAAAAAACTTCCAAGGAAAAGATAAGATTTATTAAAGCTCAAAACCAGGATTCTGGTTCTTCAAATAATTCATTCGCAAAAACTTATTCAGTGTGGTTTATATAGTGATAATATTAAACTTTCAATACCAACAAAGGTAAAGTTAATATAGAAAGAAAGATTGTATTGACCGATATGCAGATTTCACATTAAAAATTAAAGCGATCAAATAATTTTATTTTATTTTTTATGTAATATAATAAATTCGAATTTATATAGCACCGTCCTTATTTTAAAAAAAATTTTTAATGAAAATTAAAATTAACCAATTAGAGGCAATATTTTCAGTTACAGCAAAACAAATGTCAATATTTTTAAAAAAAGTTTTTAACCAAAACAGTTTAAACCGGTTCTTTACTATACTTAACGCTTATAATCCGTTAATTACCGTAAAATGAGACAGGTTCATGTCTAATACTGTATCATATGCTCTATTTTTTTAATAGATTAGATAATATTCAAGAAGTTGGTGATGGATTTTTAGCGATCTGGTTAGATGGAATACGTTATGTAAATGATAATGATGAAGCTGAAGATGAATATAGGTATACACAGTCACGTACACCATCATGCGTAGTGGATCTTAAAATATTTAGCTCACAAAGTTTATTAGATATATTAAAGGAAGTAAGTTAAGATATTTAAATTATCATA